TACAGAGCCAGAACTCTCCCAATTTCAAGGCCATTTCCATTTGCCCTCACCCTGGTTACATAAAAAAAAGGGGGTGCCTTAGATGTAGACGAAATGTAAACCTATGGCTGCTTTCTGGAGAAAGGTCTATTTATAGTCCCAAGCTCCCAATTTACCCTTGCAAACAGTATAGGGTAGTCAACCCCCCCCCCCCCCCCACACACACACACACACATACACACGCGCGCACACACCCCAAGAACATAGGGGAGAAAAAATCCTACCCGGCCCCAATAGGCAACCAATATATTATACTGTTAATGGGTGGGAGGGAAGGTCAACAAAAAACTCAAAGTGAGCTAGGAGGGGCGAGCTGCTCACTAAGGCAGCCCCACCCCCTTGGAAATAGTTCCAATGGAACTATCTCTAACAGGGCTGATCTCCTCTTGGTGAGGGTAGCAAAAGGCTTTCCTGCACCAGCTGTGTTGGCTTGGGAATCAAAATACAAGGGACCTGTTAATGATATAACTTAAAATTCCAGCAGAAAACAAAGGAAACTATTTAAGATGTGGATTGCTGTTCATATTAGGTTAAATCCACAATGAGCTCAGTTTAGAGTAGGCTCATTGTAACAAAACTTATTTAAGTTAACTGTTCCTGTTTTTGCTTTAGATGGAACTATGAGATCTAGCTATAAGAAACAATGGCTGCAAATTATCTAGCCTAGGGGTGTGAAATTCTTAACTTGTCTGCAGAGCAGTGTGGCTGGAGCATGTTGCCTTGGTGTTTATGAAAGAAGCATGCAAGGGGGAAATGTGTTAGCACAGCAAGGCTGGATCTACAGTGCCATATAATGTATTTTGAGCTCCATTAAACTGCATTATATGGATCTACTGACCAGGGTAAGTTATGTCTCTAGAATTTGGCAAAACTTTTTTCTATACTAATGCATCCCCTTCCCAAATAATCCCTCATTTTGTAATACTCACTTTTAAAAAGGAATACCAGCTCATAAGTGTAGGAATATTTTGATACTGGTGTGTATAGAAATAATCTGGAGAAATTGCCCTTGGTGTTATTGGTCCTTTTGCCAATGAAATTGTCAGAAGTCTTTCCAGAGTTCTGTTGTTACATTGTTGGTTTGAGGTAGATACCATAAATTTAATAATCCAATTTGCATTTATAGGCATCTCTGTAAATATGTGAAATGGGAGACCACATGCACAAGCTCAGTTCCCCCTCTGGGCTGTCTTTAGAAACTCATTGATGTCACTTCCTTCCTCCATCAGCAAGTGAGTTTTTCTTTAATTCTCAGCCCCAGCTGTCTATGCTGTCAACACAAAGTTATTAAAATTCCTTTAAAGTGAATCAAAATAGCCTAAAAACAAATGTACTGGGAAGCAGGAAAGCATCAGTATTCAAAGTCCACAAACCTTTGAGCAAAATAAGAGTTGATCCAACTAGAGATTGCAAACATTGGTCTTTCCTAGCATCTTGTACATCATTAAAGGATGCTTAAAACATACACTCCTCAATGTTTTATTACAACAGAAAACAGAGAGGGAGCCTTATTTGGTAAAAAGAAATTAGCCTCAAGATGTGATTTCAATTGTCACAATGAGGTTCTCAGTGAACGCAGCACTGCCTACTGAAAGTCTGCCTAAATAATGTTTAATTTTCCTTTTCCAAGCAAAAAAGTAACACTTGTATCTACAAAACAAAATAGTACACCATTATGCAGGAAGTAATTACCATAAAGAGGCAATCCTCTGCCATCGCTTAAAGCAGTAAGTCATCTTGATTTTTTTCTTTTTGTTTTTAGGAAGATAGTTATTGTAAGAGATCATTAGATAAGTTTCCACTTTCAAGTCTGTAGGTATCAGAACAATTACCTGCATTGTGTTTCTAAACAACTTGCCTGGAAATAAGTGGCTTGGAAACTTAAATCCACATTTCAAGCCCTCAGTAATTCAGAGAGTAATGATGATTTGGCAGTTTAACATCATGGCTGAATTCTCATGTAGGTGTTACTGTTTCACAGCTAACAATAGAAAACTATAAGGTATATGATTCCATACAGTAAATAAACCCTCTCATTTTTAATGACCCTTCCATGCCTTGAAGTTCACAGAAGTATTTTATTTATGGCTGTTACCTCCTTGCTTTTCCAAGCAGCTCAAGGCAGCATGAATAGCTTGAGCTTTAAACAAGTGTACTTTTAGATAGATAATAGCAATGATGGCTCAAATATTCTTGGAGTCCCCAGAAAGGAAATGTTCTCAAGCTCTGCCTCTTCCCCTCAGCTTTTATCCCTACCCCTCCTACTGGAATGACTTGTAGGAAAGGGTAGGTAGTACCTATCACAAAGTGAGCCAATGAACTTCACAGCTTAGTTGGAAATTGAAGCACAGTCATTCCAGTTCTGGTCTGATTCTCTAAGCACTATACTACACTAGCTGTCAAATGAAGCTCATAGATTCCAAAGAGAAAGTCATTTATTGTCTTGCTGCATGTTCACTGATCTGACCCAAAACTGTCTAACTTGACAATGGCTCTTCTGCCGTTGTTTGGGGAAGCCAGGCAATGATTTATCTGTTTGCATTGGCTGTACCCAGTGACAAATCCTTTTCCACCCATATAGAAGGCATTGGGGAAGATTTGATCATGCGTACAAATATTGTGTATGAAGGCTTGGGGATAGTGATGTCTTACACCACTGTGTGTACATACAAAGTGCACATGAGCCATCCTGTTTTCTCCATGCACAAAGGAATGTCATCAAAAATATTTGCCTTCTGCCAGAATAACAAGGTGCTTGTGGCATATATCATCTGATTGATTAAATGTATGCAGAAATCAAGTGTCAATGGTCTGAAGGAACTCTGTGAAAGAGATGTTAATTTCACAATTCTCAGTAAGGGTATCATGGTAGCTGTACATTTGAACAGCACATGCTCCGAAAATATAAGTAGTCACAAATATTACCACCCTGTGGATAGGTTAGCACTTGTTTTTAGATGGGGAAAATTATATTTTCTTAACATTTTAATTTTATTTGTAGTAAGAAGCCTAGTCTATTTGTCTTTATGCAGAGGCAAACTGCATTTCTGTAAACAAGACAGCAAATCCTCAACCTCCTATATTTGAACAAGAACAAAAGTGAGAGCATTTGTCAATGCCTTTAAACCTGCCAGTTTGATAGTTTGCCTCATGTGGCTCCACAGCAATCCCTCTAGCTACACAAATTGTGACACTGACAAGCTGTAAAGGGAGTGCCATCCACATATCCTTGCCCCAGAAATCTGTGATTGATGAAGTTCGACTGAAATTCCCACAAACGACGTGAATGCCTTTCAGTAGTAAGGGCAATGTAGTACACATGAAAAGCAAAAAATATCCCTTTGTTGCCTTAATTTTCAGTGTGTTCTGCATCTTTTAAAACCAAATAACAGGGAGCAAAGCATCTTAGTCTCTCTCTACCTTATTTTTTTGTCTAAGTGACCCTACTGGCTCTCTCTTGTCATTTTTGATTAGACGAGCAAGATGCCTGACTCTGACAAATCATTTTTCCATCTTACCTGCCTCAAATGAGGCAGAGATATTTTCTTTTATAAAATGTGTGTGTGTATCAAAATATAATATTTTTATTTGTTAGCTGCCTCTCCTAATGGTGCCAACTGTGTGTGTGTGTGTGTGTGTGTGTGTGTGTGTGTGTGTACCTCATAGTGAAATATACAGCTCAAGTGCTTTGCGACTCATACATACACAATTCCAATTTCTGGCATTGGTATTAATTGGGTCTATTCAATTTCTGAATGTGTGCCTTCAATAATTATGGTTGAAATGTGTGAATATGCCACTATATCTCTTTGCCTATGCAAGCCTCTATTACAGCAGATATTCCATGCTCTGGCAGAGGAAATGTTCCATGACTTCGCTCTTCATAGCTGGAAGTAAATGGCCAAGAAACCTTTACTTTGTGTCTGCTTTGGCTGCAAAAGGCAGCCTCTGGGAGCATCCTCTTAAAAGAGGAATGGAATGGTTAAGATATGACTTGTTTACAGAATGCCGTGAGTGGTATATGAAAATTCCTTATGTTATAAAATGTTAAATGCTGTGCAGGTGGTAGTTATTGTAATGCTTTTTTCTGTTCATTGCACTGTCTTTGTATTTGATAACATAATTTAATTCTCAGAGAAGAGTTTTTAAAGGAGTCAGCATAGAATGATGGAGCAAAATTGAACAAAACATTGTCAAAGACTGATCTACTATAAAGATTAAAACCAGTTTTCTTATTAATTTTCTTACAATAATTCAACTGATATTTTAAGGACCACCTACTTAATATTTCATGTTGTTACATCTTGACTCTTCTTATACTTAGTGAGATCCGTTAGTCAAATTTAAAGGTAAAGGTAAAGGTAGTCCCCTGACATTAAGTCCAGTCATGTCTGACTCTGGGGTGTGGTGCTCATCTCCATTTCTAAGCCGAAGAGCCAGCGTTGTCCGTAGACACCTCCAAAGTCATGTGGCCGGCATGACTGCATGGAGCGCCATTACCTTCCTGCCGGAGCAGTACCTATTGATCTACTCACATTTGCATGTTTTCGAACTGCTAGGTTGGCAGAAGCTAGGGCTGACAGCGGAAGCTCACGCCGCTCCCCGGGATCGAACCTGCGACCTTTCGATCAACAAGCTCAGCAGCTCAGTGCTTTAACCCACTGCGTCACCAGGGGCTCCTAGTCGAATTTAGGCCTTGCTAAAATCAGCTGGGCAAATTAGTTGTGAGTTCAGTTCAATTGATTTCAGTGAGAACTACATTCAACTAAATTAGTCTGGATCCAACTCAATATGCAAGTAGTATTTTAAAATTCAGTATATAATCCAAAATACTCATTACAATATAATTTTAATGTATGGATTTGTTTTGTTTTATTTTGCAATACTTTTCAATTTTGTTTCACAGCCTTTTTCATGATTTCATTTTCTCATGTATAATAATTATTAATTTTCTCTTCCAGTTTCTGAAGAAAAATTACAACAGCAGGCATTCAATCAGGTATTTCAATCATTTTACCTTTCTTTGAATTTCATAGTTTATATGATGAACAAAGGCTGAAATTCATTAATGAATTTATATAAAGACATGTTTGTCTTTCCCTATACATTTCTCACTATTAGATAAGCACAACTAAAGCAATCCCAGTTTAAGAAGAAAACAAAACAAAAGAGATTTTGGATGAAAGTAGGCTATATAGAAGCAATACTGTCAAGTCCAGGGGAAATGCCATAAGGAATCAAATGGAAGATTGGAAATAGAGTTCATTTATAAGACTTTGTTATACAGTGAAGAAGTTCCTCCCTCAAACATTACCTTGCTCATAAGAACCTAGAAAACTAGCCTTCCCTTCTTAAATAAAAGCTGCACGAAAGAGCCTTAGTTTGGTAGCCACTTGCATGAAGCACCTTCTTGACTCAACACATATTTAAGCTATCATTGCATTATTATTATTGTTATTATTATTATTTTATTTCTGTTATAGTTCAGCCGGAGGCTGAAGAAGATGAGATTGTTTTATCAGAGGTTGTGAGGACTGATGGGTTTTCCAGTGTGGGAAATGAGGGGTTTTAGATCACGATTCTGCCTGGGATAATGGGGTCTGTGTCTGGTGAGAGAGAAACAGTTTCAAAGCAGAGCAGAGAGGGAGGGAGATGCTGTGGCATCAGAAGACAGGGAAAACCTTTCCCCTAGCCATTCCTTGGCAATGGAGGATAAGTTGCTGAAACATACCTGAAGTTAGTAGGAGTTTGAAGCATGAACTCCAGGAGGAGAGAGCCAGATTATGGTGGTCACAGAGAAACAACAGAGTGAGAAATCCAAACAACTGAGTGAGAAATCCCTGAAGCAACAGAGCAGATGTCAAAGGCATGTCTTAATGGCTTTGTGGTCCTTAAATTAAAGAATTCTTTACTTAAGGGTCAGAGCATACAACACTGCATTACCGTGTACATCTTGGGCCATGTCCCACATTCACATTTATGTCTAAGGTCTTTGGGAAAGTCTTGTACTCATGTTCATCTATTCGTGTTTTGAAAGAAGTTCTGTATTCTTGGTAATGGATGTATGCCTATGTTTTGATCCCTGTTTTTTCATGTACTTTGCCACTTTTGAACAGAACTTTGCTATTTGGACTATTGCCTTTTGAATTCCTTTTTTCCTATTCCTTTTTGGACATTGCTTTTTCTATATTGCCTCTTGCTTTTTATATTTGCTTTTCTCATTAAACTGTTTAGTTAATAATACTGGACTCTTGTTTGATGCAAAGGTAAATTCAGGCTAGAGTGGAACAATTTCTTACCCACCTCTCCTTGTGGTTCGAGATGAGTTACAACATAATTAAAACACATAATCATCTAAAACATTATCTAAAATACACATAATAAAACATATTATTTCTACAAAATACATATTAAAATATACAGAGTAAAGATTAAAACATAGAATGTGTTTAAAACCTAGGTCTACACTGCCATATAATTCAGTTCCATGCAGTTAAACTGCATTCTGAGACTGCATTATATGACGGTGAAAATGGGTCCTCTAAGATCCAAAGCAACTACTGTTTTTCAATGTATTTTTCTGTTTATGCCAAATGTTTTTAAATGGAACCAAATATCTCTAGCTTGCATCAATATAAATAGGTATCAAAGTAAAGCTAAAACTAAACTAGGACTAAACATAACAAGGGCTAAAAGAAACTATCAAATCCCTAGCCTAAACCACCAAACAGTAACTAACTAGAATGGAAACTACAACACATTAAAGAATTCTGACCCTTCACAATCTAAACTGCAATAGGAAAAAAGTAAAAATGAAAAGAGTATATTGTTCCGCCATTTCTGATCCAACTAAAATACCTAATAGAATTACTAATACTAATAACCATAGCCACAAGTTATTACATTAGAGTTCTGATTGCTCAAAAGGATCACACATAGTTTCCAGTCATTCAAACATTTTATTTATTTATTTATTTGCAGTATTTATACCCCACCTTTCTCACCTTGAAGGTAACTCAGAGGGGCTTACAGAACACACATATGACAAGCATTCAATGCCGAGTATACACTTAACAAGGACAAACAACACAAACAGAGGTAAAGGCAGGTTTTCCCATCTTATTTCCATCATCTTGGAGGCTGTGCTCAACTCCAGCCATGGGTGGGTGGGAGGTGCTATTGCTCCATCTTCCATGCTGATGAGCTTTCCTTTGATTGATGTCCATTTAAGGGTGCCTTTATTACCTCCCCGCTAAATGCAGTATCTACTTGCATTTCTGCTTTCGACCAGCTAGGTGGGCAGGTGAGCTGGGGCTGACGGCGAGTGCTCACTCAGACCCGGACTCAAACAGCTGACTTTACAATCGGCAAGATTTTCCTGCACCACAGCAGTTTCACCTGCTGTGCTATCTTTTAAAACCCATATTAATTTGACAATTTGGGATCACTCTGTCACCTTTACAATTGATTCTTTCGTCATTGCTGCTATGGATCATTTTCAGGCTTGAGCAGTGCTCTGGCTGCTGTCATTATATATTGCATAAGTACTCACAACTGTATTAATGTCTTACTGTCATTGTGCAAAAGAGAACACTCTTCTCACATTTCTTTGAAAATAGAGCAGAAGCCTTAGCAAAATATTTGGTTTTTTAAACTGCAAAAAGTGCAATTGGGGGTTTAATATTTTTTTTCTCCTACTAATAGATTGGATAAGACAAGGCATTTAACAGAGCTTTACTATACATGAATATTAGTAGTAGCTGCTGAGAACTTGCAGCATCAATGAGTTTCAAAAACAGCAGTCACACAGAACTTCTTGCCCTTAAAAGAAAATAACATATTGTAGTGGGGAAATAGTTATATTCACTAATGCCAGTATGTCATTGTATCATCATAATTATCATCCATCAATGCACATTCAATTGCCAAAAATAAAGCAATAAGAGCATCTCTGACTGGCCCACAATCTGATGATAATACAGAAGCATAAAGCATAATAGCAGCATGCAGGGCAATCTAAGTCTAGAGATATTGCCAATTAACACTGTAGTTAATTAACCAATTAAAAAAGAACAAAATAAGAGCCATTAGAAAGTGGTCATATGAACAGTCATACAATTTTAATTGTCCTTTATTTTGAATGGCAAATTCAGCAATTTGCTCATCATTTAATAATTAAAAATATAACCAACATGCTGGCAGGTCTATTGTCAATTGAAATGTCTCGAGCAAAACTTCCCTCTGAACCTTGTACAATTTATAAAACATTAAGAGTTATGCTGAGGCTGCAGACTTATACCCACTTGCCTGAGGGTGAAGCCCATTGAACTGAGCGGAGAGTATTTCTGTGTAGACATTATAGGGTGACACCATTAATCTTCTGATTCTCCCAAATTATAAATACCAGTACATAATAGATGTTCACAGTTAGTGTTATTTAATATCCAACAAAGCACCATATTCTTAAGATGTGCATAAGGGGGATTCTCAACTTATGCTTGCAGGAGAGATGCTGAGGGCATAGCCAGAGGTGAGGATCACTTGGCTTTCCAGATGTTGTTGCGTCCTGCAACTTCCATGATCTCTAGCAGGCCTTGCTAATGGCAGAGCATATTGAGAATTGCCATCCAACGACATCTGGAGGAAAACATGGTTCTCACCTTTGCTGTAAGCATCCACCCTATAGAGCTTGTGGCCTGAGCAGATGCTATTGACTTATCCAACATTGGTTTAATAAAGTGTCCCCAGCTCCTCTTTTGGTATTTGTACATTGAATGCTATGACAAACAAATGCCTATGCTGTGATCTTCTCTCTCCCATATCCCTTCCATGCATTCTTAAGCAGGACTGGGATTATGAACTTATGAGTATTCCTAAGAAATGAGTGTCTGGTGTTCCTTGTCGGTTCTGATGAGCCCTTTCCATTTCCCCTTAATACAGTTAATAAAATATGTGTGTTTCTGGACATTATTTATAATAAGATTGATACCATAGTCAGCAATAATGGGAAAATAATAGGGATAGCTTCTTATACCACAAATAGGAAGAGCATTTCATTTTTTTTCCTATTCAAAACTAATAATTTGCACACTGAAATGAAACAATGAGATCAGGTGAAATTTGCATAAGTAATCAGAAGCCAATTTAAGGGTTCTTCCAAAATGCATCCTTGGATTACTTTTTCTTTCACCAGCCTCTATAATAATAAATAATAATAAACTTTATTTTTATCCTGCCCTCTCCCAAAAGGAACTAGGGGCGGCTTACAACAAAAATATAATATACATAGCAATAATCAACAACCAAAACAACACAAATCAAGAAATCATAGTACAAAAACAAAAGCAGCCATGAACATATTAAATTATAACATCAATACATCACAAAATATAAAATTATGTGCTGGGATAAAACATATTATACACTACTTTTCATATGCTTTCTGTTTTGATACCAAACTTAAAGATCTATTTTTAACATATTGGACATAGCTAGCAAGATAGCCTATTTTCCCTTTGTCCATATACACAATAAAGGCTTCTTGAGGCAGCTGGGATTTTTTTTTACCTTGCCTGTTGCAGGCAGACACACACAAATAGAATCCCACCCTCTCTCAGCTCAAGTTTTATTACTGCTGACACAAGGATCTCGCAGTGGTGCAATGGGTTAAACCCTTGTGCCGGCAGGATTGCCGACTGAAAGGTCAGTGGTTCGAATCTGGGGAGTGTCAGCTCCAGCTTCTCATACAGAAACATGAGAGAAGCCTCCCACAGGATAGTAAAATATCCAGGCATCCCCTGGGCAATGTCTTTGCAGACAGCCAATTATCTCACACCAGAAGCTACTTGCAGTTTCTCAAGTCACTCCTCACACACACACACACACACACACAAAACTGTTGGCACAGTGCTGCAACCCAACACTGTTTCTCCATCTTCCCTTCAAGGCCAATGCTACTAAAAGAAATCCAGCTAGACAGAAAAGGAGGAAGGGGGCTAAGAGACATAAACTTTCTTTGTTTAAACATTTGAAAGGATGTCATATTGAAGATGGAGCAGACTTGTTTTCTGCTGCTTTAAAGACCTATAGAGCAGTGGTTCTCAACCTGTGGGTCCCCAGGTGTTTTGGCCTACAAATCCCAGAAATCTCAGCCAGTTTACCAGCTGTTAGAAGTTCTGGGAGTTGAAGGCCAAAACATCTGGGGACCCACAGGTTGAGAACCACTGCTATAGAGCAATGGATTCAAACTGCAGGAAAAGAGATCCGATCTAAACATTAGGGGAAGCTCCCTGACAATTAAGAGCTATTTGGCTGTAGAAAACACTGTCTCAAAGTGTTCTAGAGTTTCCTTCTCTGGAAGTTTTAAACAAAGATTGGATGTCCAAGTGTTTTGATTGTATATTCCTACATGGTTGGACTGGATAGCCTTTCTGTTCTCTTCCAATACTATAATTCTATAAAAGGGACCTCACTGCCAGGCTTGCTAAACAAGGTATGCCTGTCCCATCATTAATGTTTGCACTATAGAAAAATTAAGTATAAAAACCACTGAACAAAACATCAGAAAGACTGCTTTGCATAATGTAATCCTTACTTTGCAACATCCTTTTCTTTTGCTCTCTTCATCTACTGAGTGCTGCCCTCTTCTTGACTGATGATTTCTCCCTGAGAGCTGGGAGGGGAGCGGTTTCAAGGCACTCCTGCTGTGTTTGTCAGTTGAACCTGGGGAGAGCTACCTGAGGCGCTTGTGAGAAGCTTAGCTGATCTTGTTTTAGCAAAAAAAAAAGTCACTCCTGTCAAAGTAGTTCAACATCTGTTTGCTGCAAGTACATCCTTTCCTACTCAGGTAACTGCTTTAGAAGTCCTTTGGTCACTTTCGGTTACCTCTACGCAATGCCCTTAGGGATAACTTTGAGCTTCAGTCAGGGGTCCCAGCTTACATAAATTAAATTATTCCTGGGTAATAACTCTCTTGGCTTTCTAAATATCTTCATTTCTCTTGTTTAAAGATATTATATTATAGTTTAATGAAGTATTGTATTCTATATTGTATTTAGAGATTGGAAAAGCTGTTTATTGGAATCTAGTTCCCAGAATCCCCGAAATATAAGTGGTCGTGCCCTCCTACTCTCTCAGTGTGGCAGAGATAGTCCCAATTAATCTTCTGCTGTTCCACTTTTTAAGCTTTCCAATATCCCCATTTCTCCCTCCCCCTATCACTATTCCTCTCTGTCCTCATCTCACTTCATTTGCTGCAAACTTAGACCAAAGGGCAAAATTAATTTGCCCTCAATTTATTCGACATGGCAGATAGGAGAGGTAGAGGAAGAGTCTTTTGCTTTCCACTGGCTCAGCAGAGGTAAACTTCTGCAGCCAATGCATATGTCCTTTCTCAAGAATAGCTTTTGCCGACTTGGCCACTCTCTGTTACTGCTTGGCCACCCATATTCCAGTTGGAGAGCATAACAATGGTCAATCCATCATTCAAACCTTTCAAATACTAAATATAGTAATTTAATATTATTGCTGCTTTGCCAGCCAGTTAGAGATTTGTTTCTTTGTTCGAGTACTATTAATATTTGTATTAAAAGATCCCTTGTCTGTCCTCAAATTCAGCAACTATTTGTGTTGTTTCAGAATATTTCAAATGCAAAAAGTACAAATCTTTATCATTACCTTAACAGAAGCAATTGTAATTATCGAACAGCTCTGTGGTAATATATATTCTCTCAGATTACTTATTACTACCCACTCACCTACAAAGCCAAGTATGTATTTCAAGGATGGGAAATATAGTTTGACTTCTCTGTCAAATTTGTATCTCCCATGGTTCCATTGCATTGAGCCTTGACAGATAAAGTGTTGCCAAACCTCCTTAATTCTGTAGTGTAGATATATCCTAGGTCTAGTTCACCAGACACATTTATTATTTTAAGGATAGATATCCTTAAATTTAGCTTGATCTTGAAAGTCAAGTAAAATACAAATTTTCCAAGAGCAGGGACCATTTGTGGAACATCTCACCTCTGAAGTGCAGTCAGTGTCCTCCCAGTATTATTCTGATGCCAATTAAAAACATGTCTTTTTACTAAAGCCTTCTGTGTCTAAATGATTTTATCCAAATCTGAATGTCTTTAAATAGCCTTAAATGTTTCAATTGGTTTTAATCTATCTTGTTTGAACTTGTAAAATGGTTTAATATGTTTTACTCTTACTGTTCCTAATTGTTTGAAACGAGTTCCATTGTATACTGTTCTGTGATCTTTGAATATAGGGCAGGATATGCAGTACATATAAAACAAAGTAAATATACAGGTTGGAGTTGACCTCATGTATGTCAGATGATTTTTGCTGCTTTTTATTTGAAGCAAGACAATACAACACACAATACTTTCACACTTCGTTCCCTTTTTACTTTCTTTGAATCTGGCTTCTATAAAGACATGCTAAACTTCTTTTATTTTTTTCAGGACTTCAAATTCTGTTCCACAGAGAAAACCACCAGAACAAGAAATTGGATCACTAGTGGGAATCCTGACAAGCCAAGTAAAGCTCTTGCTAAGAGTAGACACTATCAAGGAGATGGTGGCCCTCTCCTGCAGAGCAAAGACTCCTTGACCACCAAATTATCTGAAGAGCCACAGAAGATTAAATTTCTGCTTAAACAATTCAAACAAGTGAATTTACCATCAGTCATGCACCCTCTCAACAAGAATTTCATCAAAGATGATCACTGGAAAGCCACAGATGAGATGCATGAAAGACGCAGGTCTTTTCTGTATGATTTCTGCAAAAAATATGTTAGTGAACACAGACCCCGGGCTCATCTAGTGCGCATGGTGTCCAGAATCTATGTGGAAGAACAACACAAACTCCTGTATTGTGAAGTCCCTAAGGCAGGCTGCTCCAACTGGAAAAGAGTTCTGATGGTTCTCAGTGGCCTTGCTAAATCAACAGCTAATATTACCCATGACACTGTGCACTATGGAAAGCATCTAAAGAAACTGGACAGCTATGACCTGAAAGGCATACACATGCGTTTAAAGACATACACCAAAGTTATATTTGTACGGGATCCCATGGAAAGGTTAGTGTCTGCATTTAGAGATAAATTTGAGCATCCAAACAGCTACTACCACCCTGTCTTTGGCAAGGCAATTATTAAGAAATACAGACTCAATGCAGACAAAGAGGCATTGCAAACAGGATCCGGAGTCAAGTTTAAAGAGTTTATCGACTACTTATTAGACTCCCATCGACCAGTAGGTATGGATACTCACTGGGAGCAGATAAACAAACTTTGTTATCCTTGCATTATCAGCTATGATTTCATTGGCAAATTTGAAACACTGGAGGAAGATGCTAATTATTTTTTGAGACTGATAGGTGCTCCAGAAGGGTTAACATTTCCTAATTTCAAAGACAGACATTCCACTGACAGAAGAACAAACTCAGAAGTTGTGAGAAAGTACTTAGAAGATATACCTAACAGAGAGAGGCAACAGACATACAATTTCTACTATATGGACTACCTGATGTTTAACTATACTGTGCCATATACAGAGCCTTGAATTGGCTGAATGCTTAAGCAATTTTAGCATTTAGCTTGTGAGTAGAAAACATGTAGCTTCTTAAATGGCAATGTTTTGATTCACTGATGTTTTCATAAGCTGAAGTGACACCAACTAGCTCATATTATAGAATCACAGAGGAGAAAAATTAATTGCACTGAAATGTCTGGGAGGAAAAACACTTTTATATTAGTTAACCTTAGGATCTACAGATCTAATGCGAATGTCTTTAAATGAAGCATTTATATCATAATGATTCAGAAACCTTCAAAATAGCATGCCCTCATTTGCATTTGTTCATCTGCCATGTATCATGAATATATTTTTAAATCTTCTGGGGAATATCAATTAAAAGCAAGCTTTCTTTTTTAAAAAAACATCCATAATATGTGAAGATGGAAGTACTGGATTTGTTCCAAATAGGCATGAGGAAATGGCCCTGATCCAAATCTTGCATGTGCACAGAACCCCATTAGAAATTTGGCAGTTAATTCAAGCAGGGTTTTTTTTTAGTAGCACAAAAACACATTTTACTACAACTGCTTCTCTTCCTACTTGATCAGTGATGTTGACATTTTTTCTAGCAGGACTTTCACATGCATATAAATTGGATCAATTTCTGTTAACCCCATTAACTTACATTCCCCTTCACTGTTAGAAATAATTGTACCAAAGCCAGTTTCTATATGTTTCCTAGCTGTTTTATAGCAATAGTTGTTTATTAGCAATAATACTGATCTGTCCCTGATTTAAAGCTGTTATGTTTTTGAACATCACAAATTGGTCTGAAGCAAAATTTGTATCAGAATATGTTGCTCTCTGCCTCATTGGAGAGCACTTATTTATCAGTTTTTCACTAGAAGGTGGATGGTGAAGAATTGGCCTTGATATAGGATTATAAAATCAGAGCTATTTACAGCCAATGTTGCCTTTGTCAAAAAGGTCATAGCTTGGGAGAAGTTTTGGATTACAGTGCCTCTAGAACAGCGTTTCTCAATTTGGGGGTCATGAGGGGGTGTCAGAAGAGTTGCCAAAAACCATCAGAAAACACAATATTTTCTGTTGGTCATGTGGATTCTATGTGGGAAGTTTGGCCCAATTCCATCATTGATGGAGTTTAGAATGCTCTTTGATTGTAGGTGAACTATAAATCCCAGCAACTACAACTCCCAAATGACAAAATCAATCCCGCCCAACCCCACCAGTATTCAAATTTGGGCGTATCGGATATTTGTGCCAAATTTGGTCCAGTGAATGAAAATACATCCTGCATATCAGATATTTACGAGTCGTAACAGTAGCAAAATGTCAGTTATGAAGTAGCAACGAAAATAATTTTATGTTTGGGGGTCACCACAACATGAGGAACTGTATTAAGATATCATGGCATCAGGAACATACTATTCTTGCTTATATAAAAAAGTTATTTAGTTATATAGACAAAGCTGCCAACCAATTTTGGAGACAAGCATGTTTGGTCTTTTGCAGCACTTGAAGACATTATTTTTTTCAGACCACCTCCTAGATCTCTAGAACCTGTAGACTTTTACAGTAAAAGAACAGCGATATTTCCAAGCTCCGTTCTTTTATTGAAATGGTTTGATGGAAAGGGGAGACTTGTGTTGGAAGAGGCAACAAAGCTTGTATAGAGTAATTACTGAGATATTTGGATAATGCCTGTTCTTATTTTTTATACATATTATCATACAGTCCTGAAACCTTTGTCTATGTGCTCAAATAGTTTGCTTCCTATTAATCCTTTCTGTGAAGATGTTAGTTTTTTTCTTCCCTTTAAGAAGGAGCATTCATGAGGCTCTAATATTCACTTATCCCCACATATGGCAGCCAGTTTTCAGAGTATAGATCAAGAGTACAGACCAAGTATAGATCAACTTCTTTGTCTGTCTCCTTCAGTATCCAAACATGGAGTTCATGAGACAATGAATACCAGAGCAATTTCTTCTGTTTTTACCATAAGCTCATGTTGCAGTAGCCCTATTATACTCTGGTTGATATACTGTATGAGTATATACTAGTATATATGCATGTATAAGTCAATATATATATGATATACTCATATATACGCATGCATAAGTCAATCTCATGTATAAGTTGAGAGCAGATTTTATTACCAAAATAATGGGTTTTGCTATCACCCATGGATAAGTCAAAGAGAGGAGAATAACTTTCCACAGCACTTCCTTGCGCCATCCACCCTTTGCTGTCACCACCATTTTTCCACCCAAGCATTCAAAAAGGCCTTTCACCACATTATCAGAGAATGCTACGGTTCAGATGTATAGATAGATAGATAGATAGATAGATAGATAGATAGATAGATAGGTGTGTGAATCATCTCCTTCTCTGAATGTTGAAAGACAAGAGCTTAGTCCATCCTTGGAGAACCTAAAAGAAGCACCAACTCTTTCTACTCTTTTAGCTCTCTTACTAGGAGAAGTACTAAAGATCCAGCACTGCCACAATTTTCCCACCCATGCATTGTGGTGCCATGGTGGAAAGAGCAGGGGGGTTGCTGTCTCTTTTTTGTTTCCCTGTGATGTGCTAAATTCTCACTTTTCACCCCACTACTCAGAGAAGGGGATGGCTTATATATGAGTATATACAGTTTTTTTTCTATTACGATTAGATTTATCATCATACAATTTAAAAACTTTTGTGTTTTCTTAGTCTGAAAAGAACTTGAGAAGAAATTTACATAATTCTCACAAAGTGGACCTTTTCAGTCAATACAAACAATCTGAAAATCCCTCATGAATTCAGAATCCTTCCACTGCTGAGATTCATTCTTACTGACAACTATGGACACATGTTGATGGTAATGTCTGCCTGAAGAAAATCCAACACTGTTATCTAGAACATGAATGGTTGTTGGGTTCACTGAAGCATTGGGTTTTAAGGTTTCCAACAGGGTTTCACATCTTTCTTTTCTCCTCTTGTGCAGAAGTAAGTTATGTTTGGGGCAGTTCAGCAGATTCAGTTTTGGCACTGACTTCACAATAATAAAGTAGCTCACAAAACATCATGTTCTCAGAAGGGATGGTTTTTTGTGTGTGTCCCCTTTCTTAAGCTTCTCTTTGTCTGCTAATTTCTCCTGCTTTCAGCTTCTTCTTTGTTCCCTACTTGTTGCCAGCAGGTTAGAGTAGCTTCCAAATTTCCAGCTCAGCTTAGTGTAGTAAGATTTCTGCATAGTAATGTTTTGTATCAGAGACTGAGAACATCTAGTAATAATGGACTTTGTAAGAAGCCTCCAGTATTCAAGCCTCAGAAATCAAAAGCTGGGAGTTGTAGCATACTTACTATAAAATCTTTACTGCCTCATTGTTTACTATATAAGGAAATGGGTGCAGAAGTGGGAATGATATTCTACTTTATAAAACTGCAATTCCAAAATTTTAAAAAATGTATTTTGAAAGCTATCCAAATAAATGTAATAATAGATACTTTGGCTAAATGATTGGTTAATAAATAGTATATAATATAGTCTAAATAACTCTGACTTATTCCTTCAGTTCTAAAAAAATTTCCAAAATAAGGTCATTACTCATAAAGAATACTTTCCAGAAATGGAAGATGACAAATGCATGTTGATGATTAAGTCACATTGAAATCTTGATAAGAAAATCTAAAACAGATTCCTCACTTCATATCATTTACTATTTGCATATTGCAAAAAGCAATAAAAGAAACTTCAATGCTTTTTGTCACTTACTGTGTATAAAGTGATGAAAAAGGGCAAAAACTGCACTGCACGTACACTTGCCACATATGAAAAAATATTCTTGTATATTTAAATAAATAAAGTTTATCGGTCAAAGCAGATAGTGACTCGGGGTTATGAATATTCAAGTATTTCTCTCAATTGCAGAGAAAATTGATATTTTTGAGTAGGTCTCTCATTCCAAAGTGTTTTTCAAAATAATTCTGCACAGAAATACACAAGCGGTGTTGTACACTTTCCAGATAGCCACGTGGTGGTGATGAGGGGACACACACAAAATTCTGCAAAATTTATCAATATCCCCCCCGCCCCGGGGAGTGGCTATTATTTGTGCAAGATTTCTGCACAAGCAGACAATCTTTCACACAAAGACCCACATAACTATCCAGATATCAAAGTTTGCACATAAAAGAAATTATTTTCACACAAGGACTCCTTATATATTTATGCACAGAATAATTCCCCAAATTATTTTTGTAGCCAAGAAGCAAATAACACTCCTAAATAAGGTTCCTTTATTCTTTTTCTTTAAATCTACTCTTAACTGAGTTGCTCCAAACCATCTGTAGAGTTCTCCAGTGGTGTAGGAGAACCACTGGAGAAACTATACTGTTTAGCCAGTATTGTACCACCTGATATCCGTTGGGAAGTAGCAGCCTTTAATGAAAGGACAAAGGCATTGACATCTCTGGCCCGTTCTCTGTTGGGATATCAGCCAGCACGCCAACACCTAAAATCAAGAACTAGCTTCCTAAGATCTACAGAGACACTCACAGGAACACCTCAACAAGCGAGAGTCCAAAAGTGGTGGCTTAAAACCCAGAACCTCAATCCATGGCTAATACCAGATAAGAGACTCCCTGCTGGACACACAGAAGACTGGGCAACTTGAAAGGCACTGAACAGACTGTGCTCTGGCAGCACAAGACACAGAGCCAATCTTCAGAAATGAGCCTACAAATGTATTACATTTATTTATTTCAAACATTTGTACCCCATCCTTCTCAACCCCTGGGGGGAGGGGGGACTCAGGACTGCTTACAACTGGCAACAATTCGATGCCAACACATACAAGCAACATAGTATAACACACGTAAACATTAGTGAAGTTCATGGCATGTCAGTGTGGAGAAAACCAAACCACAAACCACTTACTACAGTGCAGTCTGTGTCCTGCCACATGCACAATGGAGGACCTTCTTACAGCGACACCAGAGGCACTCCAAGAGGCCAGCTTCTGGTCAAATAACATTTAGTATAATGCCAAGTTCTTAAGTTTGTTTGATTTAAATACATTATAACTGTACCCTCAATTCAGTTCTGACATGATAAATAAAATCTGTAGAGTGTATTTTCAGAAGGTAACAATTTTTTAGAAATGAAAAATGAGTAATAAGTGGCAGCACAAGGTCATGTGGCTGGCATGACTGCATGGAGTGCCTTTATCTTCCCACCGGAGCAGTATTTATTGATCTACTCACATTCGCATGCTTTTGAACTGCTAGGTTGGCAGAAGCTGGGGCTAACAGCAGGAGCAGATAAAAACTATCAAAATGTATCAAATCACTTTTGTACGGGGCTTGGAAACAATGCATATCCTCGGTATATATTTTTTTCCAATTCCTGTAAATTGTGTTTAAATAGATTTGGTACCTTTTCCCATCTGAATTCTTTTAACACTTAAAAACTTCAATATTACAAAACACGTGTTACTATGTACCTTTAAGCAAAGTATTTGCATGTAACAAAGCTATGGTGCATTATAACTGTAAGTAAATTATATTTTGAGAAAAAAATATCCAGAGTTCCCCATTAATGTGAAAACCCGAACAAATGATATGATGCTGGATACTGTCCAAATTTATTTAGGTAAATATAGGCTATGCAGGTAAACACTGAGCTAGACAGCTGGCATTTGGCATAGGAATTCAAATGCTGTGCACATTTTAACCATCCTCAGCCTCCTATCCCCCACCCCAAATGTTTTGCATATCTTCAATCATGGCAAAGCAGTCATTAGAGCAAAACAGTGATAATGACAGGTCTGCTTAGAGGTAACAGCAGCATGATCAATTTAACTGTGAGAGTCAAAATAGCAGCTGCTAGCCACATCACTTTCTGCCATTGATATATCCATGTAGGCCATATTGGACTTTGAGAAGAATGCACTAGAGCAGAAACAAATGCTGAATTGTACAGCCACTGCCAACCCCATTTTCGATTCATAGCATACATGGGTCAATCTTATGAATAGACTCTTCTCTAAAGATTTCCCATACAAATGTTTTCAGGCCTAAGAGAAACATGCAGAAACATAATGTGGGGAGCAGTTCTCCTTCAGTACATCTCTTTTATTCCCTGAGCCTTCCCTTTGCCAAAGAAATCAAGCTCTCATGGGGTAAAGCCTACTAAATGCTCAGTGCTTTCTTTTTGCCAGATCTGTACTACTTGCTGAGCTATGTGGATGCACCGAAAGAGGAACACTGGGTACTTGTCATGGAAAACTGGTAGTACTTGGACTTTCTATTCTATTCACACTTGCTATGCCTGGGCTCGGCATCTTGGCTCAGGTGCAAAACCACTCGCTCTAACAATGGTAAGAATCCACAAAAACAATACTTTTGCTTTACTCTGAGGTAGTTTTTCAGAACTCGGAAAGTGGTGGTTTTTTTTATTTCAATCTTCCACCACTTCTTGGAAGACAACAAAAGGCTGTTTTACAACAGCAAGCAATACTTTTTTCATCTTCAGCATTAAGAGGCCTCAAAGGTAATCTGGAATTTTATGTATTGTAAGGAAAATATTCCCCTTCAATTTTCTTAGTTGTGGCTCCAGTTCTTCAATTCCACACCAATGGAACATGGATGAATTATTTTCACAAGTATTTTCATGTATTCCTGAATACATTCTATACAAACTTGGCTCAGGATAGGTATCTTTCCAACTGTTACCACTTGAAAGCATTTTATTGCCATGGAGGCGGAGACAAAAGAATCAGAGACTTCAGTTTTGGCATA